CTATGATTGCCTATGTCCAAGAAGGATGCACAACATAGAAGAAGAATAATGAGAAAAGAAAATCTGGAAAATTTGACATTCACAAGGCAGACTGAAGACAAGAGGAACAGAGGAAAACTGAGTAACTGCCCTAAAAATTTTGTGTAAATGGATAGTAGAACATAGATGAGGAAAGATTGTTTAAAGATAAACATTGCTAAGAGCTATGAAGTATAGAGCTGTGATCATCCATGTCTTTCAGAGATAGGAACATACAAAAAGTAGTTGGTAATTTCTGCTGAGGTTTATCAAAATATTTTTGTTTTTATATAATACTTTTTTTATATAACATTTATGTAATGCTCTGCATAGGTTATCTTTTCAATGATCCAAGCTCTTCTGATATTTTTCATACTAGTCAGGTTTTCTTCTCCTATCCATTATAATCAACAACTGATTGTTGTCCACTTCTTTATTTCAAGGAAATAATTGCCATTCTTAAAATACTTAAACCAGTTTTGTGAAATGTGGTCAGAAATGTTTCATTTCCTTTTAGCTTCTTCAGGTTTGATATTCAGTGTGAAATAATACCTCAAGATTGCCAGAATTCCAGCACTTGTTTCATCCATTGTAACATCTGAAACAAAAACATATTATTGATAATGATTTTATTTATATATATATATATATATATATATATATATATATATATATATATATATATATATATAATTTTTTATATATATATATATTAATGATTTTATATATATATATATATATATATATATATATATATATATTTTTATATATATATATATATATATAATGAAACAGAAATAGGTACTTTTAATTTAATTTCTATAATTGAATTGGAAGTTTTAGCTTCTGTTTTTAAAATATGGTAATTCCTGTGTAGCGATGGAATGATATTTTTAAATAAAAAAATAATTATAATCTAGGCTCTACTTGTGTATCGAGCTCTGTTTTTTAAAATAAAAACAAAAATACTAAAGAACTTTGGATCATCAATCTAACAGTTCTTTCCTATTTTATAAATGTATTTGCACACGCATATATATATATATATATATATATATATATATATATATATATATATATATATATAATTTTTTTTTATAATTATTGCTTTTACTCTTGGTATTGAGCCCTCTTTTGTATATTATTTCCGTTCTCATTACATTTGGAGATATATAAAATACACAATGAAATCCAAAATTATCTCATCTAATTATGAAGTAATTTTGGATTTCATTTTGTACTACTATTTATTTGCTCTGTAATAAATACATTGAGCTCTTTTTGTGAATCAGTTTTAATATTTTAGATTACTAGGATTCACTTAGATTATATACCAACTGATTTATTACCTTTACTACATATATATATAGGGTGTGCCAGAAATGCCTCTCACATTTTAAACTGTCACTTTTGCGGTGCTCAGGAAAATAGGCAAGTAGCAATGGTGTCTTCATCTAGCTAATGTCTATCATTTTTTTTAGATACCATCAGTTATCATCTTTTCTTGGATTGGTACACACCATGCTTTTGCTGTTGAAATGATTTTTATAAGTCTGGAAAATCTGTAATTGCAACACAGAGAACTTTCCATGCTCATTTTACATCAAAATGATGCTGTTCTGGATAGAAAATCAATACAGTCCTCCATGATGCTATGCACCTTTCCCATAATATTTGACATGTTTGTGTATTTATTTAAATATATATATATATAATATATGTGTGTGTGTGTGTAAATATATAGAAAAATAGGAAAGAACACATTAGGTAAATACAGTGTTACCCGGATATAAGAGAGATTTTCTCTGGTCCCAAATTAGAGCTCATACTTACCTAAACAAAATAGACCAAACCCGGATATAAGAGACTTCTTCTCCGGTCACGACAACTCTATTATATCCGGGTTACACTGTAATCCGAAGTTCTTTAGTATTTTTGTTTTTGTTTTTAAAAAACAGTGCTCAATACAAAAGTAGAGCCTAATTATAAGGAATCATATTTTTAAAAAATAATTAGAGAGAGAGAAGCAAAAGAAAGAGGCAAGAGAAAGAAGAGAAAAGGATGGAAGCAAGAGCGAGAGGAGTGAAAGATGAAGGCAAAAGAGAGATGGAAAGAAGAGCGAAGGATGGAAGCAAGAGAGAGAGGAGTGAAAGATGAAGGCAAAAGAGAGATGGAAAGAAGAGCGAAGGATGGAAGCAAGAGAGAGGAGGAAAGATGAAGGCAAAAAAGAGATGGAAAGAAGAGCGAAGGATGGAAGCAAGAGAGAGAGGAGTGAAAGATGAAGGCAAAAGAGAGATGGAAAGAAGAGCGAAGGATGGAAGCAAGAGAGAGAGGAGTGAAAGATGAAGGCAAAAGAGAGATGGAAAGAAGAGAAGGATGGAAGCAAGAGAGAGGAGGAAAGATGAAGGCAAAAGAGATGGAAAGTAGAGCGAAGGATGGAAGCAAGAGAGAGGAGGAAAGATGAAGGCAAAAGAGAGATGGAAAGATGAAGAGAGAGAGGAAAAGATGAAGGCAAAAGAGATGGAAAGAAGAGCGAAGGATGGAAGCAAGAGAGAGGAGGAAAGATGAAGGCAAAAGAGAGATGGAAAGAAGAGCGAAGGATGGAAGCAAGAGAGAGAGGAGTGAAAGATGAAGGCAAAAGAGAGATGGAAAGAAGAAAAGAGAGAGAGGAGGAAAGATGAAAAAAAGAGAGATGGAAAGAAGAGCTAAGGATGGAAGCAAGAAAGAGAGGAGGAAAGATGAAGGCAAAAGAGAGATGGAAAGTAGAGCGAATGATGGAAGCAAGAGAGAGAGGAGTGAAAGATGAAGGCAAAAGAGAGATGGAAAGAAGAGCGAAGGATGGAAGCAAGAGAGAGAGGAGTGAAAGATGAAGGCAAAAGAGAGATGGAAAGAAGAGCGAAGGATGGAAGCAAGAAAGAGAGGAGTGAAAGATGAAGGCAAAAGAGATGGAAAGAAGAGCGAAGGATGGAAGCAAGAAAGAGAGGAGGAAAGATGAAGGCAAAAAAGAAAGATGGAAAGAAGAGCGAAGGATGGAAGCAAGAGAGAGGAGGAAAGATGAAGGCAAAAGAGAGATGGAAAGAAGAGCGAAGGATGGAAGCAAGAGAGAGAGGAAAGATGAAGGCAAAAAGAGATGGAAAGAAGAGCGAAGGATGGAAGCAAGAGAGAGAGGAGGAAAGATGAAGGCAAAAGAGAGATGGAAAGAAGAGCGAAGGATGGAAGCAAGAGAGAGGAGGAAAGATGAAGGCAAAGAGAGATGGAAAGAAGAGCTAAGGATGGAAGCGAGAGAGGAGGAAAGATGAAGGCAAAAGAGAGATGGAAAGAAGAGCGAAGGATGGAAGCAAGAGAGAGGGAGGAAAGATGAAGGCAAAAGAGAGATGGAAAGAAGAGCAAGGATGGAAGCAAGAGAGAGGAGGAAAGATGAAGGCAAAAGAGAGATGGAAAGAAGAGCGAAGGATGGAAGCAAGAGAGAGAGGAGTGAAAGATGAAGGCAAAAGAGAGATGGAAAGAAGAGCGAAGGATGGAAGCAAGAGAGAGAGGAGTGAAAGATGAAGGCAAAAGAGAGATGGAAAGAAGAGCGAAGGATGGAAGCAAGAGAGAGAGGAGTGAAAGATGAAGGCAAAAGAGAGATGGAAAGAAGAGCGAAGGATGGAAGCAAGAGAGAGGGAGGAAAGATGAAGGCAAAAGAGATGGAAAGAAGAGCGAAGGATGGAAGCAAGAGAGAGAGGAGGAAAGATGAAGGCAAAAGAGAGATGGAAAGAAGAAAGGATGGAAGCAAGAGAGAGAGAGGAAAGATGAAGGCAAAAAGAGAGATGGAAAGAAGAGCAAGGATGGAAGCAAGAGAGAGAGGAGTGAAAGATGAAGGCAAAAGAGAGATGGAAAGAAGAGTGAAGAATGGAGGTAATTATTTTTTGTCATCTCATTTTTTAACTGAACTATAAGTTTTTTTGAGGGCTTAATGTTCAAGTATTTTATAAACAGTCAGGGTTTATATTACAAATATCTTCTTTTTAACATTTGTAGATGTATTTCATTACGTACTATCAGTCGTCCTGTATGGTTGTGAATGTTGGACAATATTCTCACAGATGAAGAGAAGAGGCAGCAGAGATGTGCTTTCACAGTAAGATCTTGAGGATACCATCGACTGAACAAATGAGCGACGACAAAGTTTTAGAGAAAATGGAAACAAAAAGGAAACTTATACTTCACATCGGGAAGAGGCAGTTGAAATTTCTAAGGCACATAATGAGGAAAGAGGGATTAGAAAATCTTATATTCACAGAACAGATTGAAGGCAAGAGAGATAAGGAAAAACAACACATAATTTACTTAGCTTGAGTAAATGGATATCAGAACAAGGTTTCGGCGAAATAACAAAAAGACAATGTTTATTAAGAGCTACAAGGGACAGGAGATTTTGGGGAGCCATGATTGCCTATGTCCTGAAGGAACATGGAACATAGAATAAGAGGACGTATTCCTGAAATGGCTTGCTATTATCAAGTAATTATTATTTCAACTTGTATAATCCTGATTTTCAAACCATTTTTTTCCTGATATAATTAATGCATTAAGAAGCTTGCTTAATAATAAATCTCACTATGTATAGATTGATGACTGTACATTTCATGGCAAATGTTGCTTTGGCATTAATAATGAATACTTCTTTATGCTTTTAAATTCTGAATAATATTTTACCTGGCTTTATAACACACGTTCTAGATACTGGCCTAAAACAGTACAGTTCATACACAGAACTTATTCATCCATTCATTGGTGGTTTTCTATAAAGAAAGCTATATTTAAAAGCAGCATTAATTAGATATCTTTTTTTTTTTTTTTATAGAAGTAGGTATTTGTTAGGTCATAGTGACATTGATTCTTGTAAGTGTTGTATCAATATATGCCTTTAAATTAGCTTTTGCTTTACAAAATATGCCAGTATACATGTCTTATGCTTTGTAGGCTTATGGCCACAAAACTTTGACATGCCGGTTACCATACAATCACCAAAATTAAGCAACATTGATCCAGTTCAGTACCTAGATGGGTGACCACTTGGGAATACCAGGTGCTGTAAGCTTGGATGTGCAGGTGGTGTAGAATTGTTAATCAGAGAGCTGAGTTCCAATTCCTGTTGGGTTCATTATATTCACTTACATGCAGATACCCTTGGGAAAGGTATGAGTCTGCATCTTCTCTCCCCAATTATGGGTTAATTATTAAAACTTCTATCCCTAAACTATTATTATCATTTCCAAAAAAGAAAAATTCTTACAATCTAAAAATATTTTCTGGCTTTAAACAACCTGCAAAGGATTGATAAGCCATAGAAAATGAATCAATTAATTATGCTTTGTAATACCTATTTAGATTTATGTTGGACCTTGTCAAGATTGATAATTGGTATAACATCTTTTTATAGTTATTATTACATGAACAGTAGTTACAAGAGTGGTTTTCATAAGTACTCACTCATTCACTCTTGCATCTGTTATCTATTGTAACATGCCATAGATAAGACATTTTTGTTAAGATAACTGGTGATGGAATAAAGTTCAGGGACATGAATTCATTACCTTTTCCAAAGGTATTGATGCTAAGTAAATGTAAGTCACCTCATTTGTCGTTTGAACTTGGTTTGAAGATTCTAGAGTGGCAAAAAGTTTGATTTGGTTTATCAAGTAAAAATAAAGTACATATTTTCTTTTTTTTTTTTTTTGTACAATATGTTTACATGCACAACTAAGTTCAAAGGAGTAAAAGTTCTTGTACTAATATGAATAATAGTGACTAATGTCTCTGTATGATAATTGCATGGTAGTATTGCCAGAGGAGGAGAATGATAATGTTTGACAAAAAAGGAAAACTTTTAAAATTGCAGAAAAGTATTTTTCCTGACTTTAATAGAATCTGTTTTCTTTTAATGCTTTATGCTTCTGAATCCAATAAGGTATATTAATAATGTTTGATGCCTAATCATTTGTGCTACAATATACTGATGTGCCAAAAATCATGCTTTTAGCGCCAAATATCTGTATTGTCCTGTTTTGCTTGGCAAAGTGCAGTAAATCTTCATGGCATTGATTCAACAGGATGTTGAGTCATCATGTCTCAATAGCTGTCCACAGCTCCCCGAGATTTATAAGACTAGGATCTTTTGTGCAAACAGACATCTGAAACATGACCCATTAAAGTTCAACTGGGCCCATATCATAATGGCTGCACCATTTGTCAAAAGTCTCCAGAATGCTCCTCTGACCATTTCTGGGCATCCTGGGAAATTGATAACACTTTGTATTATCTTGCTGGAAATCCCCTTCATTCTTGGGGTACATGAGTCGATGAATGGGAGGGCAAATGGTTATGAATCAATGAAACGTAGCAGTCATTGGTCAATGATATGTTTAGGCTGAGCAGTGAACCCAACTATGAGAGCATATCCTACATCATAATGGAACAATCACTAGCCTACAGGGTGTCTTGTTAACAGCTGGGATCCCACACTCAAACAGTACCATCAGCCTAAAACAACAGGTACCCCGACTCATCAGACCATGCTGCATGTTGTCAGTCCTCCTGGGTCTAATTAGTAATATCAAGAGGCCAGTTGATGTTAAGTATTTAATGTCATAGTGTTAACAGGAGCAACTTGTTCCCATAATAGCAAGTTGAGGCATAGAGCTGGACATCTCTGCTCCAAAGAAAAATATGATATGACAAAAATATAAAAGAGGGAAGGCAAAAAAAAAGGCAATTTATAGAGTAAAAAACAAATCCTTTTTTTATGCATCAACTTGCAATTTTATTGTAAACGTCATCAACTCGGTTTGTTTTCCTTGATTTGAATTCTTAAGCATTTTGAGCTTCTTTGCACTGTTTTTACTCAAATTAAGGAGTGACTAATACTGGCAACTGCTAGTCGAAATATTTCCATAAAAATAAATCATTTGTTGGAACTACAAGTTTTTTTCTTTTAATTAATATTCAATGATCTTTGCTTAAAAATCATTAGAATCTTTAGAAATCTTTTAAGATTTTACTTTTTTTTTTTTTTTTTTTTTTTTAAAGCTTAAGCTCTATTAATCAGCTTAAAAGATCAGTAACTTTTATTGGTTAATTTTACATCATTTGATCTAATTTTAGTTGGGCAATTAGCCAATTATATTAGTTTAATATCTTAAGGTATCACTCATAAATCAAACATTGTTTCATTAATGACCTATAAAAACTGCATTGCTGTACACTGTGTCAATTTTTTTTACAAATTTTGTGCTTATTTTCAACACAATGGCTGACTGACATTGAAAAGAATATAAATGGAGAAATCAGGATATAAAAATGCTGAATAAGTATAAATGCTTTCTGTTCAACAAAAAGATTTGCTTGAATGATGACCTGGCATTTTTCAGGTTAAAACAGAGGACCATCCTTAACCTTTAAGTTATTATTTAATCGTATCCAATTTTCTTAGTAGATATGGGTTATAGAGAAACAAATAGAAAAGAAGAAAGATAGATCTGTTTATTGGTACCTGTTCTATATTAACTGACTAGCAGTAGAGCCCGGCGTTGCCGGGGATGTAACAGTAAGAGATAGATCAAGTATCGACCATCATAAAGACTGAAAAATAAAATTGACAAAGATTATTGTTTAAGGTTGATGGACACGCATGTCTTAATTAGATTTTTTTTTGTTTTTTTTTTATGAATTGGTCAAACTCAAACAAAAACATTGTTTTCAATCGTTATGAGTCTACCGATTGAATAGAATTTTATTATAAGCAGTTGCCTTGTAAATGGAATTTTTAAAGCTTTCTGAATGTAAAAATAAAGAAAAAAGTGTGCAAGACAATAAGAAATACTACCTGCCAAAAAAAAAGTGAAGTTTTGTTGAAAAATGTAGGAAATCCGATCCCATATATAAATGAACACACACAACCTGGGTTTTATAATAAGTATAACTCTATATGAGTTGTCCCCCTTTCATTCTCATGACAGTGATGCCTCTTAATCATGTTTTCAAATTGATTTCATGCAAAAACAATTGTGTTTTTTCCAATTTTTAGTGCTGTCAGAACCACTGCAAGGTAATTTTACATAGTCCTGTGAAGTTTTGTTGAAATCAGTTGAAAAATGTAGAAAATTCGATCCAATATATAAACATACAGACACACACACACACAACCTGGTTTTTATAACAAGTATGATTTCTTCTGCCCCTCTTACCTTCATTATGTCCCATGTGTGTCAAATTTTCAAAATCTTCTTTCATCATTATCCTAGAAATGTCAACTATCTCTTTCTAATTCTAAAGATAAGTTTCCTTTTTTCATAAAACTTTGTCATTGCTTACAATTTCAGTTCATGGTACTCTCAGCATCTTTCTGTAGAACTACATTTCTGTTGCCTTTTTATCTGTGATAAGATTGTCCAGCATTCGCTACTATGTAAGAAGACCAATATTACATAAGAGTTCAGCATTCTTTTCTTTGTTTCTAATGAAATTTTCCTGTTTCTTAATACTTTGCTTAACTTTTGGAGGGTATCTTTCACTGTTTCAATACACCTTTACATTTCAATGCCACATTTGCCGTTCACTGTTAAAACATTATCTAGATATTTAAATTTTCATACTTGCTTGATTCTGATATCTCCTATTTATAGTTTATGTAAAAAGATTATACAGCTGTTAAGATGCCAATATTGAATAAATATAAATATAAGTCAAATAAATTTGTTTATAATTGTAGCCTGAATTTTGTTATTACATAAATTGTAATGGTAATCTTGGCTGTTTCCTTATATGGAAACATTCATCATTCATTGACTGAACATCCAGTACAACTTTCAGTTAAAATTTTAAAAATCTTTCTATTAAAATAATTTCACAGGAAAATAGGTTTCTCAAGTCTACTGTTATTACTCTTTCCATTAGTGATGGGGATTTCCTTCCTAACTTTTTGTTTGAAATAATGTGCAATGTTAACATCTTGATTATATCATTATTTTCTTATCAACTACATCCAGCAGCAAGGCTGCTGATTGGGAGATTGGAGGTTTTGAAGGGTGTGGAACCACCACTTAATTGTTGTTTCCAGGTCCACTCTGACCCAAGATAGTAGCACTTGTTAGGATCCCAGCTAAGAAGTAAACTCCCCCCCCCAAAAAAAACCCAAAATACTATGAATGTATAAAAATACATTTTTATAGCAAAAATACCAGTAATACATGTTTATGGTAAAAATACCAGCAATACATTTTTATATAAAAAAAATTACCAACAATACCTATTTCTAGTAATATTACCAACAATACAATTTTAAAGCAAAATACCCAGCAATAAATTTTATAGTAGAATTACCAACAATAAATTTTATAGTAAAATGACTAACAATACATTTTATCTGTAGTTGAAGACATACAATTGTGTTCAAAATATATTCAATTGAAACCATAAAATTGTGTTAAAAATACTTAGATTTCGGCATTAAATAACCCAGAGATTGATATGCTGATAAACAAATTCACTGAAACAACCAACATAAAAGAACTCTTTCATGACATTAATTTATATAATATCCTACAATTTCTTCAATCAAACTGTACTCCAAAATATAACTTCAACAAAACCACAATATAAAACACATATCACCACCTTGAGTAATCATGTCTACACAAAAAACCATGTATATGCACAAAAGCTGAGTATCATGTATTCATTTGTGAAAGCAGAATAACATACCATATTTTTATTACTTCAAAGTTCCCAAGAAAATTAAATTTTGGCATTAAATGAGCCATAAGGGGTTAATATGCTGTTAAACAAGCAAATCATATCAATCAAGTCAAATTATTTTCTTGTCAAGTTACATGTGCTAGACATTTCACTTATTGCTTGATGTCTTCAAGTGATGTGGTTTCTATTTGTTACAGTGTTTTCTGATTCTCTAATACCTGTCCATAAGGTTCAAAGGCTTTATTCACTCAGTCATTTTTAATCATTGATCTGATTGTAGTGGTTGTAGGCAGCTGACAATTTAATATTTCTGGACAAGTTTAGTGCCCTGCATGATATCCATATGACAGTCTCGATCTGACAAAGCTTTTTAAGAACATGACTCAAAATTTTAGGTTAATGTTTTGGTTTTGTAGCAAAGACAGAGAATAAAAAATCGTAGGGTAACACAGGAAATTGTGGAGGGCCATGTTTACCTACAGCCTGAAAGAAAAGGAATTATTAAAGAATATAAAAACAACTTGAGTGTCATAATGAAAAGGGACAAAATATAAAATGAAGGCAAAACTTGTAAAAAATAAATGGCATGCTTCCTATAAAAAATAATAAATTAGATAATTTAAAACTATTATGTCTTTTACAACATCTTCTTATATGTGCCATGTTCCTTCAGGGCAAGAGTGATTATGGCTCTCCACAACCTCTTGTCCTTTGTAACTCATAGTAGATTTTGGGGGGGGTATCTCTTCTAAACCCTATTCTGCCAAGTATTTACACAAGCTTGTGAGGTACATTATGGGTGGTTTCCCTCTTGCCTTTAATATATCCTGTCAGTGTCAAATTTTCAAAGCCCTCTTTCCTCATGATATACACAAGAAATTACAACTCTCTTTCTAATGTTATATATAAGTGGCCATTTTGATTCCATTTTCTCTAAAACATCACCGTTGCTCACATGTTCAGTTCATCGTATTCTCTGTAGAATCACATTTCTGTCGTTTCAAGTCTTTTTATCTGCAACAAGATTGACCAGCATTCACTGCCATATAGGAGGACTGATATTACACAACAATTTAGTACTCTTTTCCTTGTTTTTAATGAAATTTTCTTGTTTCTTAATATTTTGCTTAGCTTTTGGAAAGCATCTTTTGCTATCCCAAAATGCCTTCAGATTTTAGTATTGCACTTTCTGTCTCCTGTTAAAACACTTCCCAGATATTTAAATCTTTGTACTTGTTTGATTTTGGTGTCTTCAATTTGTAATTTGCATGTTGGATTGTTTCTTTTGCTGACAATCATACATTCTCTCTTCTTACATGCGATGTTTAGTCTTTTCTTCTTGCTTTTCTTTACTACCTACTGTAAGAGTTTCTGTAGATTCCTTTCTATGTTTATTATCAAAAATGTGTCATCAGCATATCTAATGTTTTAGCTGTCAGTAATTAATCCTGGCACGACTTCTAATTCTCTCAGAATTGCTTCACTGCATAGATTGAATAACACCAGTAAGAAGATGCATTCTTGTTTTACACCCCTTTCTATTTTTATATATTTACTGAATACATTTTCTATCCATATGTCGGCAGTTTGAGGCCAGCATTATTTCTGGATTATTCTGGTTTAAATGGTCAAGATAAGGATGTATCTTCTCACCAGATTTATTCAACCTTTACAGTAAGATGATCTTGAAAGGACTAGAAGTCCTACCAGGATTTATTATTATTGTTTGCACTCTTAACAACATAAGATATGTAGATGACACAGAAAGGAAAATGCAGGAACTCTTAGAGTAGGTAGTAAAAGAAAGTGAAAAGAGAGGACTAAACATTAATCTCAAGAAGACAGAATGTATGATTGTCAGCAAGAGGAACAGTCTAATATGTGAGCTATGAATTGAAGATGCTAAAATCAAGCAAATGTAGAAATTTAAATATCTGGGCAGTGTTTTATCAGATGATGGAAAACATGACACCAAAATCTGAAGGTGTATAGGAATAGCAAAAGATTCCTTCCAAAAGCTAAGCAAAGTATTATGAAACAGGAAATGTCATTATAAACAAAGAAACAAGTACTGAACTGCTATGTAATATCATTCCAACTATATGCTAGTGAAGGAGACTTGAAATAACAGAAATTTGATTCTACAGAAGGATACTGAGAATACCATGGACTGAAGATGTGAGTAACGAGGAAGTTTTAAGGATAATGAAAACAAAAAGGACACTTATAATAAGAATCAGAAAGAGTTGAAATTTATAGAACAGATAATGAGGAAAGAAGGCTTGAAGAATTTGATGCTCACAGGACATACTGAAGACAGGAAGGACAGAGGAAAGTAGTGAGTAAGCTATTTAACAAGCTTGTGTTGATGACAGAACAGGGAGGGAAAGGAATAATGAAGAGAGAAGCCTTACTAAGAGCTATGAAGTGTAAGAAGTTGTAGAGAGCTATGATCACCCATGTTCTGAAGGGACACGGTACAAAGAAGATCTTTCCTATACTGGCTGCCATTCAAGTTTTCAATCCATCCTATTTTTTATCCCATAGCTGGTAAAAGAAGATAAGTTTCCATACCTTCCCCAAAGGCATTAGTGCAAAAGTAAAGCAATATACTACACCGGAATTTGAATTTGGCTCATCCATTTCATTTTCTATGAGGATAACAATTATGCTATCTGTAAACAAAAACAGACAAACAATTAAGTTTCTTGTGAAGCATTATTTAATGCAATTTGACTAATGCCCATAAGTGAGGTTCTTCCATTTCTTTCATAGACAAGTAATTCAAGGGGGAGACAATTATGGTTGCCTTCACCACACTATCAATAAATAAATAATGACAATACTTCATCTAAGATATTTAGACAACACTTGACTAATTTTGACACCATCTGTAGTAACATAATGAATCTGTAGATGGATTGATTTCTTTTTTTCAATTTATCAACATTTTACAGGTTTTTTAAAACTAAACATTTTTAGAGTGTAAGAAATTTTTGGTGATAATAATGATTTACTGATACAAATTCTATTAATTAACCTTTAACTGGAGGGAGAAGAGGTGGATTCATACTTTTCCCAAGGATATTTGCATGTAAGTGAATATAAAATATGACTGAAATTGGAAATCAGAGAGCCAATTTTCAAATCTGAAACATTATCCATTACACCACCCACAGATCCAAGTTTACAGTATCTAGTATTCCCAAACAGTCACCCATCTAGGTACTGACCAGTCTCAATGTTGCTTAACCTCAATGATCATATGAGAATCGGTGTTTCATCATGATATGGCCATAAGCCTGGGTCTGTAGAGAGCTTTGATGACTTAAGTGTATGCAAAGCGTAGTCTCTCAGGTAAATATAAAAGGTAAGGTGTTTTGGTGCTGTTGTTAGTTTATCAGGTAAACCTCCCCAAGAGAAAATGCTTCTCTATTCCTCTTTAATATAGGTCAATTGTGTTTAGGATACACTGCTCAATTACAAAATACTTTCTGGTTGATAGAGACTTGACTAAAAGATTAGATAACGAGATCAAAGTTCATCAAATTACTTTTTTTCTAACTTTTTTAATCAATATATAAACCTGAAGTCAACACTGGAAGTTTTAGTTACTGTTATAGATTCTCTATACCAATGCTACTGCAGTGTCAGCTCTTACCACTTCTTTTCACTGAAAGCCAACATTTATAAATGATTGGTAGACAGGTGATGTTAAGAGTACTTGCTCTTGTAAGTCAAGTTGAAGTCATCAAGGGTTACACATTGTAAAAGATGTGCTACATTTCAAATAACCATTTTGTTACAGTGGCAATCAAATTCAAATATATCCGGGGGGGGGGGGAATGTGGTGTCTATTCCACACTGAGAAAAGTTTATTACATCTTTCACCATATATTGGTCTGATATTTAAACATCACATTGAAGCAGGAAACTGTCACCATGTAGTGTTGATTCCTTTGTCCACACTTTCCATCTCACTTTCACTCTCTCTCCATATATATAAATTCAGATTGGGCACCTTGACATGGTGTAATGGTTAGAAAGCTTGTCTTGATAGATCAATTACAACTAAGTAGTGAGTTCGGTCCTCACTGGGTGCCCCATAATTTCGGCCTTGTGCCACATCTAAGTCGGGCTTAGAAAATAACTGCATAAATTCAGATATAACTAAAAATATATCTGTAGAAAGACAATATGAAAACTTATCTTAGCCAATATGTCTTGTCCTTTATTGGACTTTATCAAGTTAACTGTAAAGATTTTATTTTGCAACAAATATGTACACACAAAAGTAAAAATGTTATTTCTTCAGTATTTAAAAATTTAAGAACACTTATAAATATACTTCAGGCTAACTGAAAGTCAATGTAAATTATGGAAGATTCTAAGTGATGTAATTTAATATCTAATAAACAAAAGTGAATAAATGTTATTGATTTTTTTTATAATGTAATTATTATTTATATTAATTTAATTTTGAAAAATTAAGTTATGTATTATATGTTTTAAATAATAAAAGGTTTTGAATTTAACTGTTTTCTTTTAATTTTAAAAATTTTTCATAGTCATGTATGATGGCTTCGAAAAGGAGGTATTTGAAAAAAAAATCCTGGACATATGTACACACACACACACAAAGTGGTGGTATTCAAAAATTTTAAGAATGAGTTCTCTCAACAGCTGGACTCAATAGCAATGAGTTCTCTCATTTTTCCATAGTCTATTCTTTACGTGTGTAGGTTTACTGGATATGGTTGAAGTTTCATCAATAATGACATAAATCTTTAATTTTTGTTCAATAATTTTAGTGAATATTTCTTTCCTTATCTCCTTTGCAATATGATCTACTATTTTCACCACAGCTTTTCAAGAATGGAGTCCAACAACCAAGTGTAATCTATTTTTCATTTGAAGCTGAATCTCATCTTCAACATCAGAAAATGGATGACTTCTCTTTGCTAAACTGTAGACTGTATTGAAAACGCTATTAGTAGAGTCTATATACTTGTTATTCAATTTATCCATTTTGTAATTGCATCATCAGCATGATCTTGTTGGCACATAACACAAATACTGTAAGCCTTTGATGAGAAATGCATATTCATCTTTTTTCTTAGAGATGCTTGTTGAATTGTTTTATCCCTTCCCGAAGGTCCAATACTGCAGCGGACACATTCCATTGATATGTGAATTCCTTTCACGTTTATGGATTCAGAATAAAATCTGGCACATAGATCACACCCAATTTTTTCACTGTAAATAAGCATACTATCATATTTTTCCTTGAAGTCCTCATACTGTTCAGCTAATGCTTCAATTGTTTCACCTCTAGTTATAACATCAGGAGCAGAACTTTCATTAACATCATGCTCTAAAGTTGGCTGTGTTTCATCTGCATTTGCCTCTTGTCTGAAACTTTCACTTCTGGGGATTTTTCGAAAAAAGTGAAATAAATCTTGTTGTCTCTTCATTTTAGGTTCCTGATAATGAAATGAAAAAATTACTAGTTACTATTAGGAAATTATTATATAGGAAGAAATTAAAATTATAATAATAATAAATTACTAAGCTTTGATCTAAAATCCAATAGAAAAATGTTTGAATATGAAGTTCAATAGAAAAAATGTTTAGTTTAAACAAATTTTATATTAATTAAAAGTTTTAACTAAAAATCTATTTGTAAAATATGAAAACAGCTAAGTGTGGGATTGATAAAAATATCAGTCCTGATTAATGACACTTATGGGTAGCAAGAAACAAAATATAGTGGACAATGTTGTGCTAAAAGGCTCACAAACTGTTACTATTCCATGTCAAATTTATCATAAATTCCTTTTTGACATAAATGTACAAAATTATTTATATAAAGTCTACATTGCAAAAATAATTTTTAAAACTTCAATGGCCTGCTATGGGGCACAAGGTGATGGCCCTGATGTTGAATAACATAGTAGTCACCTTCTTTTTTGAAATTACTCCCCCAAGAACAATCATGGCTATGCCCCTGCAATTGCATATTAACCTTTATTCAATCACCTGAATTTACATCCTGAACTAATTATGTGACTACAATTTGTAGACAATCTAAAATTAGCAGTTTGTTTGTTTGGGTTACGGGTTTGCTGAACTCATAAAATTCAAAGAACAGTTTCACATGAACCTGTGCAAACCAGCTGAATCCCACCACTGCGTGTGTGTGTTTATATATATATATATATATATATAATTTTGGTGTTCTGTTTATGTATTATTTGTTTTTCCTACTTAAAACTGGTTTTTAACATCTTTGTCAGCCTTTTAGACTTGACTGTACTATCTTTTGCCATATAGGTAATTTCCTTAGGTTATTAAAACATAATTTAAATTAGACAATATCCAACATGAAAAGACGATAGACATAAGACTAATCAAAACAGAATAACTGACTATGTCCTGAAGAAGGTCTACTAGACCAAAATGTCTGACATCGACATTGAAACAACATTAAAACAGCATACTTGTATATTTGGATTTTTGTTTTTTCATATTTTCTTCATACTGTCGGATCTATATCCACATATTTGTTTACATACATATATATATATATATATATATATATATATATATATATGTGTGTATATATATATATATATATATATATATATATATATATATATATATATATATAACATTGAATCATTCATACAAAAAAAAAAATTAGTAAAGTTAATGATATAAAATGGTGAAATCACTTTGCTAACTAAATTAAAAGATGCATTAACCCACTAATCACTAGATGAATGTTATGATCATTGTTTTTTTAAAATTATAAACTGTATTAGGTCTTCCTATATATATGTGTGTGTAGCATTGTGATTGTCAATGTGGAAAGTGGAATTAATGTGCAAAGTTCAAATTCTAACTGAGGCCACTCAGTTCACTTTCATACAAATACTCTTGAAATGGTATGAATCCATTTCTTCTCTTCCTCCCTCCAGGTTAAATACAATGTCAGGCTAGGCTTTGTACTCTTAGTTAGAAATGATTCTAAGAGAAAGACAACTCTGAATTCAAAACCTGTTAGATGTGCGGCAAGCAACTCTACCCAGTAAAAAAATCTATTAGCAATCTGTGGCCCTACATTCTAAAGGAGGGTTTACAATACTTACATAGCATAGTATAACATATAAAAAGTTTTTGTTAAGGAGTGCTCAGGTAGGCACTTGGTCAGCCTTTATAGTGTCCTATCAAAAGGGCTTCAGAATATGCCGACTGCACCTCTGCAGAGGGGTAAGACTCCCCCACCCAAATGAAGTATCCAGGGTATGATAATAAACTACATCTGCATCTTAGGTATGACAATAAACTACATGCAGTGGCAAGGCCTCTGATCTTAATTGCTGGTGACCTAGGGTAGTAGCACCTGTTAGGGTCCCAGATATTGGTAAATAGTTAACCCCCAGACTGGGGTCAAAACACTATGAAAGTGTAAAAATAGGTTTTAATACCAGCAATACATTTTTGAAAAAAAAATATTACCAGCAATAAAAATCTTGTCAGCATTAAAATAACCTGTTGAGGTTGATATGCCACAAAACAAAACAAAGTAAACAACAAAAATGAATATATTTTTTAAGTATTCTGAAAAAGAAATTTAGGTTATATTGATCATAGAAAGGGAAATTTTGCAGAAATTTGCAAAGTTTTCACTTTATTTTTAAATAAGAAAAAATTAAATTAAAAATAAAAAAAATGTTTTTTTTTTTTTAAATATTGAACCCATACACACACTCCTCACTTAAAGGCAAACAACAAGAAACCTGTCTATATTTCTGAGATGAGGTATTGTAATTATTTACTTAGTTACATTGTTTAGACTCTTGTCCTTATCTTTGTTGCCATATTCACAATGTTTTGACCATTGTATGCTCCGGCCTTCATCAGGTGATTGAGATTTCAACTGAACCCTTTATTTTATACACTGGGATAGATTTTTCTAGTTCCACATACCATACCTCTTCCAGATGTCTCAGTATCAGTTATCTCCCTTTAACTCAACTCTCCAAGTTTTTGTTCACCTCAGCTGTAGCCAGGTATTGAACTCATAACTCTTTGGGTCAAGCCACTGGATTCAACCAATGATTTTATCAACTGGGCTATGTTTCAAAATAAAGGGTTCAGTTCAAAATTCCAATCACTTAAAGAAGGCCGAAGAGTACAACAGCTGAAATGTTGTGAATATGGTAACAAAGATGAGAACAACAGTCCAAACAATGTAAATAACAAGAAACCTGTAGTGAAGGCAGAATTTATCATCC